TTTTTTTTTCTACGTAAATACGTACCAGACAGAAAAATTTTCCTCAAAGATCACTTATTTTTGAGGTTTTCTAATTTGAACAACTTGAAGTGTTCTCTGTTATAAAATTCCTGGAAAGCGAAAAGTAAGAAGACTTTTCAGCACTCATGCGCGAGAATTATTTAAAAAGTTACTCTATGTTAAAAATTCAAATCTCATGATCGAATACTCGAAATTCTGGGATTGGGAACGGTACGCGTTTGAGCGGTTTGACGCTATCAGATGCAACAAATGCTCCCGACTATATCCTCATCGACATTTCTGCAACAGCAATGTATGCGATTTAAAGCTAAATATGCATACCTGCGCGGGTTATTGTAGACTTAGATGTAACAGTCAAATAAACATTCTCAGTCACAAGACCGGTAAACCCGACTGAACCACCTGTCGCACACGGTACCTTTTGCAAAAGTATTCCGTTTGCGTTTTTACTATTTCTAGAACCCATTGCACTACCGGCTCCCGGCTCCACTCCAGCTACTACAGTTTCTTTGTCTGAATTCTTATGGCAGCAGCCTCAGACACTACGGAAACATTACATATATGCAGGCTGTAGCTCCTAGAGCTGCTACCATAAGCAACAGACAATGACAATTTTTACCGGTTTTTCATGGATATTCGGATAACACATCAGGTTACTCGCGCTTGGTGAAAGTGATGTTACGTGGATTTAGCTTGCAGTGTTGTTTCAAGGAATTCAATCATGCACACATGTAATTTTAGGTTTGCCATATTTATGATACGAACAGTCTTCTGTCGTTCTACAGAGACGTCCACTTAAACGATTATGGCGGATCTTTACTAGGGAGAATGTATCGCAATGAAATCGCCTATCTGCGAGCTCGTGGCGAAATCCCGTAAAAGCAACCGGAATATCGTTAATGCACCTCGCTGAAATATTTTAATCGGTTTTTATGAAGAATCCATTTCGATGTACATTTTGCCAGTGCGATCCACTTTCCCGCACTTTTATTGATCCGTATAGCTGAATATGAAATCTTTAGCTCACGCATAGGCAGGGGAAAACAGTATCAAATCTCAGCTAGCTTGTCTGGTTTCCGAAATCGGTTTCCCACCAAAAAGCGTGCGTGTGTGTGTTTTTTGCGTCTGTACGAGATCCAGAGCTTTTTGCATACCGTAGCAGCGCCGTAATTTTATGTTAATTCGTACCCGTGTCCGCCTCAGTAAAACAAAGTTGCAAATTATGCAGTTAAAAGTGCTCATTCCCTTGCTCACATCTGGAGCTTCTTTATGGCTTTGAGGAGATGCAGCCCGCTGGAAATTTGTGGGAATACGATTCGCACCCTGGGAACAGATGCCACGAGTTGCTCCTCACCCCAACCAGTATCACTGTAGAGCGCTGGATCCGTTTCAATCATTCTTCTTC